AATTGATGCCTTTGAATTGTGGTGTTGGAGGAGAATACTAAAAGTGCCATGGACTGCCAAAAGAACCAATAGATCTGTTTTGGAAGAAGTGCAGCTATAGTGCTCCTTGGAGGCCAAGATGGCTAAACTTCATCTCTCATACTTTGGACATATTGTCAGGAGGGACCAGTCGCGGAGAAGGATATCATGCTGGGTAAGATGGAGGGTCAGAGAAAAAGAGGAAGATCCCCAACGAGATGGATAAGCCAGGTGGCATCATTGATGGCATCCAGTGTGGCAGTGGTAGTGAGGTTGGCCCAGGATCGGACATTGTTTCGCTCTGCTGTGCATGGGTAGCTATGAGTTGGTTCTGACTCGATGGCACCTGACAACATTTTTACTTTATTGTCCAAGATTAATGTTTCCTTCAAATTGTAAGAACTGCAAAGAAAGGGTCAAGGAACCAAATATGTTCTGAATATACTAAAATACTTCAAGCACATGAGGACTTCATACAGACTTGCTTTTGCTCTCTGTTTAACAGCAATATCTGTATATGCCAAATAAGCAAGTGTGGATGTCACTGTGGTATCTTATTTCTTGAGCTCCAGACCAGTTCAACCAACCAATGAAACCTGACCCCTATTACTAGAACACAGAAGAGCAGCACTCTCAATTCATTCTCACTTTCCTACATTGTAACTTACTCATTTGATATTTGTGAAAGTCGACCAAGTACCATTTGTTGTTGTCATGGTTGTTAAATGCCACCGAGTTGTTTCCAATTCATGGTGACTCTATATAGAATATCTGAGGAGTGATTGGTCAGTTTGAACTGCTGAACTTGTGGTCCATAGTTCAGCATTTATCATGCAGTGCCACACCAGGAGTTTCGTACCATATGAGCATAAATAATCACCATATTTAACATAAACATGTCTAGGTGTCCTCCAAAACAAAAACAATTGCTGTGATGTCAATTCCAATCTATGTATAATGACCCCATTTGTGTCAGAGTAGAACTGGGCTCCGTAGGGATTTAATGATGGATTTGTGTTTCAGAAGTAGATCACCAGGCAGTTTTTCCCCGGAGGTGACTTTGGGTGGGTCCGAACTCTCAGTCTTATGGTTAGTAGCTTAGAAGTAACCATTTGGGCCACCCATGGGTTCTTAGCTGTCCTCTAGTGCTTATATTTTAAATTTAAACTCAAATTCAGAATAATTATTGGCCAAAGAATGCAATTAAATGAAGCTTTCTACTGTTATTTTAGTATTGCTCAACAGAACCAAGTATACAGAGTCTCCACTGTTTAGTTGAGGGATGCTAAGACTTCAGGAAAGTTTTGCCAATGGAGATGGGAGAAGATATTCTGAGAATGGAGGGTATTCCAAGCTCAGGAGTTTTCATGGGAATGACTAGAGTGGTTTTGAAGTAAATGAAGAAGCTGGCCCTACCCAGTATCACTTTATTCTTGTTACCCCCAAAGTTTACCCTGAATCTTTTCATAAGGAAGCAATCATACAAACCCAAATTGAGGGACAAGCTGCAAAACAACTAGTCCATGACTCAAAAAATGTCAGCATCACGAATGACTGGAGCTGGGGGCGGGGTGGGAAGGGAGCTGGAGCACTCTTCTAGAGCACAGGAGACTGAAGAGCTATGCAGATGACACTGGAATGGAAAATGTGCTTCTTCATTAGATCCTGGATTAAGGCAGGGTAGGGGTGCGCCTAAGGTGATGAAGGCTTATTTTAGGGGGGTATAATTAGAAAAATTTGAATATGAACTATAATTAAGTAATAGTATTGTATCAAAGTTAAGTGTCTTGATGATAATGGTTTTGTAGTGATAGAGGAGAAATTTTATGAGCTGCATGCAGAAATATATAGGGATGAAATGTCATGATGCCTAACTCTTCAGTGTTGAGCTAGATCCTTGTGTGTGTGTGTATGTGTGTATGTGTATGTGTAGTTAGCTGCAGAAAGAGTGAGCAAATTTAACAGTGCGTTAACAACTGGTGAATCTAGGTGTAGAGAATACAAGTATTTATTATACTATCCTTGAGACTTTTCCAGAGGCTTGACATTTTCCTAAAATGTTCTTGTTCTATTCCAGTGGATGTTTGTGTCAGCTTTCAGGCAGGCCCCACGTCAACAAAATGCTCTTGCCACGGTTAATGCTGGAATGAGGGTCCTCCTCAAAGACTGCACAAACACTGTTGTGGACTTAAGCATCTTATACGGAGGAGTTGGCGCTACGACAGTCAGTGCAAAGAAATCCTGTCAGCAGCTTATTGGGAGGTGAATTATACACATGGACATTGTACCAAATACAGTTCATTACCCCTTGAATCATAGCAACTGATAGTATTGTCATAGGAACCTAGATCGCTTCTCTGTACCGTTATAGCATCTTACAGTATGTGAACCTGACTATTAAAAGCAAGATTTTAAGTAAACTTATTCAAAGATTTTGTGTCATGATATTACTATGTAAGAAAAAGGGTTTCATCAATCTTTGCTCATGATTTTAATATGACTTTTTTAGTAGATAGTACACACTTGTCTATACTTTACTAACTTGCTTGAATTTCTCCTTTGTATCTAGGTGCTGGGATGAGGGAATGTTAAGTGATGCTTGCAGGCTGGTTCTAGAAGAAATCACCCTTCCAGACCCCGCCGCCATGGGGATGGTGGAATTCCGAAGAACCCTCATGATCAGTTTCCTCTTCAAATTTTACCTTGATGTTTTACAGCAGCTAAAAATGAGGGTAAAGAGGAGTGCCTTTGGGATTCCCTAGGCAAGAGAGTTTATGCCAGGTGCTGAACACAGTGATTTTTTTTGTAATTTTTTGAGGCCTCCAAAGGGTTCTTCTAAATCATATCAACTTCCCAAAAGCAATGATAATTAAAGTCTGAATACCCTGCAGGAATATAAATTGAGAATATATTTTATATCAGTCAATTATATCATCACAATTAAGAATTTGCATTAAAATAATAAAGGCATCTTTATTACAGGATCCCAGTGGATATCCTGACCTTTCTAAGAAATTCTTAAGTGCCCTAGAAGACTTTCCTTTGACCATACCTCATGGGATGCAGTCATTCGAGGTCAGTACATTTTATGAAAAATAGAAGAGCTGAGTGGGATGGCAAATGTCTTTTGGCATGGCTTTGCTTTCTAATTTCAAATCGTTGCTATAAGTGCAGCCTTTAAGAAAGAGTCAGCTCTGTAAATGCTTTCAAGAATACTGTCAGTGTTCGTTTTACAAAGTCCCACAAACTGGGTGGCTTAAAGCAATAGAACAGGATCCTCCCACAGTTATGGAAGCTAGAAGGCCACAGTCAAGATGTCGGCAAGGTTGGCTCCTTCCCAGGGAGAGTCTGTTCCGTGCCTCTCGCCTTGCTTCCAGTTGTCTCCCACACTCCTTGCCGTTCCCTAACTTGAAGATGCATCACCACAATCTCTACCTACCTTTTCTCATGGATGTGTGTCTGTGTCCAAATTTCCTCTTATAAGGATACCAATCATTAGGACCCACCCTAATCCAATGTGATTTCATCTGGACTTGATTATGTTAGCAAAGACCCTTTTCCCACATAAGGTCACATTCACAGCTATAGAGGTTAGGACTTCAGCATATTTGGAAGGCACAATTCAGTTCAACCTACTATGCAAATGCTGTATATAAGCAACAATCAGTTACAAAATACAATGGAATAAAAGTTCCCATTTACAATAATAATTAAAAGACAACAACCCATTGTCATTGTGTTGATTCCAACTCATAGAGGACCAATAGGACAGAGGAAGACTGCTCCATAGAGTTTCCAAGGCTATAAATCTTTTACAGAAGCATTGCCACAGCTTTATCGTAAGGAGCACACAGTGGGTTCAAAGAGCTTTCTGTTAGCAACTGGGCACTTAAGCACTGCACCAACACATATCCTTTCAATTTACAGCAGCAACCAAAAAATGAATCTTGAAGAATAATCTAAACAAGAAATATGCAGGGACTGAAGCTGTAAGATAAGCACTGGACTACACTGTCAGTTTGAACCACAGGTTGGCAATTCAAACTCACCAGCCACTCCTAGGAAACCCTCTCAGGGTCACTGTGAGTCAGAACTGACTAGATGATACTTAACAACAACAACACAGGAAAAAAAAAACGTTAAAATTCTACTGGTGAAAATTAAAACAACAACAACAACAACAAAAAACTTGAATAAAGGAAGAACACATGTCTAGTTTTTTGCTAAGAAGACATAATGTATAAAAATGTCTAGTTTCTCTTAAATTATTCTGTAAACTAAG